GTTCCTATGAGTTCCAAAAACCGTATTCTCGCTTAAAAAGCTCAGGCTTACCTGTCCAATTTCATTTGCTGTGTCACCTTTGGCACCTACTTGAGCAAGTGACAGAGAGGTGGAGAGACAGATTGGCGAGAAGAGCACATTGCCCATTGGCTCCTTTTCACACAGTTGTTTGAACATGTCGACAGCAAAAGCTGAATTTGCCAACTGCAGGGCATCCATGGTAGGTCTGCAACCAAAGGCAAAGTATCTTTAAAGCATTCTCAACGCATTCTGCCAACACAATAAGTATTCATTTCAGCAAAGTAATGACCTTAGGTAGAAAAGAGGAAGGAACATTTAGTGACTTCAGAAAGAAAGCCAGTTGTGAAGCAACTTCTGGACAGATGCCCTCTGGAGCATATGGAGTCATCTGAGTCCACAGGACTGCTCAGAATCCCCAGATTGGGGCCTGATCAGCCAAGAGAGTCACTGTCAAAAGTCGAGTGGCCACACCTCCTCCTTAGCAAGTTGACAGCAGTACTCAAAAGCAGCTGGTCTTATTTATCATATGTTGTTTCAATCAGGATTTCAGTTCAATCATACAAAATTTGGAATTTTTGTTGATCTAAAACAGTCAAATGGCAGCGGTTTTATGTGATTCAATGTAATAGTTGGTACATTTTGAGAGTTGAATTGTATCGCCCTGAAAAGATATATCAAAGTCCTAATCCTTGTGCCTATGACTACGACCTTGTTTGGAAATAGGGTCTTTATGATGTAATTAGCTGAGATGAGTCCATACTAGAGTTAGGTGGGCCCTGAGCCATTATGGCCGGTGTCCTTAAAGGAATAGGAGACAAGACATGCACAGAGGAAAAATGATGTGAAGATACAAGGAAGCTGGCCAAGTGATGAAGGAGGCCGAGACTGGAGTGATGCTTCTACAAGACAAGGAACACCAAAGGTAGCTGGTAACACCAGAAACTAGGTGAAAGTGATGGGACAGATTCTCCCTTAGCCTTCAGAGAGAGTATGTTATTCATGTTAGTATATAATGGATACATTTAAAAAATAAATAAACATTTCAAAAGTTTTCCAGGGTTAGGACCAGCAGATGGTGTAATGGTTACATCATTAGACTCCCACACAGTTGACCGCAGTTCGAGTCCCAGACTCGGCAGCTTAAACTTACGCCCAGTGTGTGGGAATGTGTGCCCAAGATCCTGAGAAGAAAATAGAGGAGAAGGGGTTGTGGTGTGGCCATATCCCCTAGAGGGGGGGTTTCTCTTTCCGTCTCTCAATCTCCCTCTGTCTTTCCCATGAGTGCACGTGCCCTATAGCAAAAAGCACTCCGAAAAAAGAAATGTTTTCCAGTTTAATTTCTAGTTTGATAAATACTGATAGACATAATCATTGCTGTTGTTGCTGTTTTGAACAGTTCTTTGGGGTCCTTAGTAATTTTTAAAACTATAAAGAGGTCCTCTGGTTTTAAAAGTTTGAGAATTGCTGTTCTAGTTAAAGGTCTACCCAACTATCTAGTCCAGTAAATACTGACCAAGTCCAAAAGCACCTGGATGAAACCAGTGAGGGCATAGCCCTTCCTGGAGGCAGAGGTGACATGACTCAATCTGACTACTCTGGGGCAGGGAGAGGACCAGTGCATACATAGATCAAGGTTTGAAGTGTTCCCCAAAGCCACCAGGCACATGCACCCAGACACAGAGAACAAACATGACACTGAAGGTCTTCAGGTGGGACGTCCACCCTGGCATCATAGAGAAAGCTTCACTACACAGATAGAGGGCTTCCTTCAGCCAGGATCAAAGGGTATGTGTTAAAGTCAAATGTATGAAGGGGATATACCTGAACAGAAATTCAAAATGCAAAGATTTGAGACTAAAATCAAGGAGTCTATCCTGGCCTTCAAATATTTCTCCAGAATTATCTTTTATGGGTTGTATGAAGGATGGACTCAATAAGGTTATAATATCCAACGGTCTGAAAAAGTGAGTTCATTATCAGGAGGAAAAAAATTATCCCATTTATTCTCAGCGATCACCTCTATAGACTGACCTCTTCCTTCTCTTTGTGTCCATGACAAGAACAGCTAGTGTATTCAGGCCAGTGTTCCCATTACACATCTAGCATAGGATAACTGAAGTGCGTGGACATCTTACTTTTTTTTTAATTGCCAGAGGGCATGCACATTCAACAGGAAGAGACAGAGACAGAGAGAAAGGAGAAGAGAAAGCGTCCTAGTGGGGCGTGGTCACACCTCAATTCTTTCTCTCCCTTTGTTCATCCCATCAGAATTTTGGGCACATGGACACCCATGTCCAGCATATTTTTCAAGCCACTGGGGCCAGGATGAGAACTGTGGCTGGCCATGTGGTCGGCCATATAGAATCCAGCTCCCAATGCATGGTGCTTAGCCACTCTATACAGCAAGTCCAGGCACTCTCTGGCAATCAATAAAAAAAGAAAAGAAAAGAAAATTCTAGAAAAATAAATTTACATGTTTGATGACTTCTGTTTCACATGCTATAATTGCTACTTTTTTTGGCATCTTATTATCATCTTGTTACAAAAAAAATCTTTCATTTTCAATGAAAACCCTGTAACAAGGACCAGCGCATGGCCAAGTGGTAAATGGAGCTGGATCCCATATGGCCAACCATGGTTCAAATCCCAGCTCCTACAGCTTGAAAAGCACACCAGGATGTGTTCATGGCACCCAAAATTCTGAAAAGCAGGAGAAATGGACAAGGTGCCGTGCTGTGACCGTGCTCCACTGGGAGGGTGCACTTCCTCCCTCTTCCTCTCTCTCTGGTGAGCACATGTGCATTCTGGTAAAATTTTAAAAAATTTAAAATAAAGCTTGTAAGTCAGGTGGAAGTTTAAGTTGTAATGTAGTATTAAGAGTTTATTTTAGAGTATCTTGTTTTTTTGTATATTTTCTTAAATCATAAATCTTTAGGTAGGACAAGGTCTTGGAGTAAATCTAGTCTGGCTCCACCTCTTATTCTACAGGTGAGAAAAGCAAGGCAGATGCAGATAAAGCAATTCTCCCAGGCCACCCACACAGGGAATGAAAGTGGCAAAACCAGACCAGGTCTTCCCCACCACACCCCACCACCTTCTGCCTTACTAATTGTGTCTTTGCTAGGATTTATTCTCTCAGAAGTTTCTCAAGGTCCAAAATTCTACACATCCTGAACTAGCCCTTTTTAGATACCAGGATACCCTGTGTGATATTTTCTTAATCGGCATGGAACATTTTCCTTATAATTTTCCTACTTGAAAGAGCTCTTGTTCATTTTCTGCCACATAATTGAAAATTCTTAATGTTTTATTACTTTCATGTAGTAGGTATTAACTGGATGCCTAAAGTGTGTCACACACTGAGGTAGACATTAGGAAATTGAAGACAAACACATGGCTCCCATCTCCAGGGAGCTGTCAGCTAGTGACATGATTGATGTGATGAGTGTTTGATGGAGTATACAAGTTGCCACAGGATCCCTCAGCAGTGACAGATAACTCATAGCAGAAATCTCAGTGATACCTCCTCAGACAGTGATGTGTAAGGAAGTCTCACTAAAGGTGAATCCTACAGGATAAGTAAGAGTTAGTCATGGCAAAATGTGGGACAGAGACAACTGAACAGAGATGCAGGTACTAGGATGAGGAGGTTGCTCACTTCCCTAGATTTATGGTTGCTCGCTGGCCCCTATGTAAAGATTTCCTAAGTTTTTAATGTATCTAAGCCAATGGTCCTCAAGCTCTAGACCTTCTGGGTAATTGAAAGACTCTATGAATAGAGTGACCTTATGTCCCACTTTTCCTAGGACAGTCTGCTGTCCTGACATTAGTAACAGTGCCCCCTTTCACTCTCAAATTTGTTTTGAACAATATATGTTCATCTTAGAATGGTAGAGTATCTACCATAATTTTTCTACACAGGTATACACACAGCTATGTGTGTAGTTTCTTCAACCCTTACAAACTAAATTTTCACTGTGTTGAGGTTTTGTAGATATCGTTAGCCTAGTCTGTCTCATTTTCAGGATGAAGAGAGTGAAAAAAAATCTTATAGGTATTTGGTGTAACCAGCCTTTAGGCAATGCCCCGAGAAAATGTGCCTATTATAACATATACAGTGAAATGCCTAAAGCATAACCATGTAACATATATGGTGAAATGCCTAAAGTTAGTCCAGGTTCTAACTCTATGAGGAGGCAAGTCAGTGCCTGCTTGAGGAAACAGGAAATCCTGTAGCTTCTGCAGTGAGAAAGTCCATCATGAGGATGAAGTAAAGTGATCAAGTGAGTAAATGTATACAAAAGTGCTTGGTTGGCAGGAAAGTACCATGCAGCTTTTAGTAATAAGGTTAACTGCCTTCATTTCCTATGACAGAGGAGCCTCTGCTTTGTTCACAGATCCTGAAACATCACAGCTTCTTATGCTTCTTCAGAAGCCTGGCCTTGACCACTGATCCTATCCCACACCTCCTGACAGTAAAGAAGGGCCAGATTTGGTCACACCGAGAAGCCCAAATTGCTGAGACAGCAAGCCCTGGTGTCAATCAGCATCCCAGAGGGATTGAAGTGGCACAATTTGAGGCGTGAGGAAGCAAAGGAATAAACCTGCTGACTCATTTTCTGCGGAGAATCTTTTCCTCAGACAAGCTTTTATCTCTCCACCCATAAAGGAGCCCATCAAACACTTGCAATTACTGGGTGGCCAGGACCGATGTTTGGAACTAGACTAACTTTAACCTCCTAGAAGCCTCCTGGGAGCTATAGTGTGTGAAAGAGATGTTAAGAGAACCTAGAGTGTGATAGAAGCAACCAGAGCTGCCATCTGAAGGCCTGAATTCAAGTTTGGAGGAGCCACTTACTGGACAGCCTACACCTCAGAGAGCCTCTGCTCCCCAACTACAAGATAAGAGGGCTGAGCAGAAACACATCTAAGAACCCTCAGCTCTGAGAATCTGATAAATTTTCAAAACAGCCTGGTGTGTTAAATTGTTTTTTAGAACAATACACTCAAACAAAGCCATAAAAAAGCAGCACCTATGAATAGGAAACAATGAGCCAGCTTAACTTAAAAGTCCCAAGAACACACATGAAATACGTGACTGGCATAAGGCATGCTGAAACACAGAAAGGAAAATACTTTCTGCCTAGAGGAACTCATAGATAAACATTGATTTGATACTTAAAATGACCAAAAAAAGAGTGGTTCCTAAGGCTGTCTCAGCTCCACTATGCCAGCCAGGAAAGTGAGTTAAATACACAAACACTTAACTTTCTCCAGTCTCTGAGCACCACACCCTGTCTGAAATTAACACTGCAAAATTCATTCCGAGTTCCAAGGCAGGGGTGAAAAATATCCTTAAAAATATTTTTTCTTCTGGGAATCACTGTGTGTCCTCTGCCCCCAACCACAACCACCAAAACTCCTAGCCATGCGATGTTTTCATATTCTCACCTTGTATGGTTAAGTGATTTCACTCCCTACGCGCCGCACTCCTGACGCCCAAAGGGCTGGGAGCTGGAAATGCTGCGGATCTGAGGGATGAGACAGAAGCCAATACCCCGTCCTTGAAAACAACCCATTTGGTCCACTGTGTACACCATCATTTCGAAACAGCTCAAATACCTATCTTAAGAATTGCCCTAAGTAGGGAAGTCAGAGGCTTTGCTT